ACACAAGGGAGATAGCAAAGCATTGGCAAAGAATTATAGACCAGTTGCACATAATAAAAGTATTTGAGAGTGTGATCAGGAGTCAGGTCACGAGTTTCATGGAGACCAATGACCTCCACATTCCAGGCCAACATGGATTTAGAGCAGGAAGATCATGCCTCTCACAGCTACTTGACTATTATGACAAAATCACTGATGCATTAGAAGAAAAACAGAATGCAGATGTGGTATACACGGATTTCACAAAGGCATAAGATAAATGTGACCATGGAGTGATAGCACACAAAATGAGGTCAATGGGAATAACTGGTAAAGTAGGACGCTGGATACTCGCTTTTATGACTCACAGACCAACCCTCGAAAAAAAATATCTATCACTACGAGCCAACTCAGAAAAACGGGACACAGACAGGAACGGAATCTCACCGCGGTAACCAAAAAAAACACAACTCAGACCAACTGTCATCATTTGCAACGAAAAACACACACATCAGAGACAGACTCGTTACAAATGGGATCTGCTGGTCTATATGTATTGTATTTTTCGTTACCCCAATGAGATTTCACTCCAGTATGTGCCCGTTTTCTGAGTTGCACCTTAGTCAAAGGTATTTTCCCGACTGCCAGTCTACGTGTCGTGTGTTTTTCCTTACAAATGGGGTCTGCTGGTCTACATGTCATGTCTTTTTCGTTGCCCCAGCAGGTACTTAAACATAATACAGGATACAAAACGCAATCAAATTTGCCTATAGCAGGAAAACAACATGTAAAGGATTTTGGAATGATGATGTCTGATGACCTAAATTGTAGGAAGCATAACCAAGCAAATATTGCAGCAGCCAGGAAAGTGATAGAATGGATTACAAGAACTCAAATCCAGGGATCCCGTCACAATAGTTGTACTCTTCAAATCACTTGTGCCGTCCCATCTTGAGTACTGCTCAGTACTCACTTCCCCATTCAGAGCAGGAGAGATTGCTGAAATAGAGGGAATACAGAGAATATATACGGGATATATAAACGAGATAAAACATCTAAATTATTGGGATCGTCTCAAAGCTCTACGAATGTACTCGCTTGAAAGTCGACGGGAGAGATATCAAATAATATACACGTGGAAAATACTGGAGGACCAGGTCCCAAATCTGCACAGTACAATAACAACATACTGGAGTGAACAATATGGAAGAAAATGCATAAGTGAAGAGCAGGGGTGCCATAGGCTCAATTAGAGAGAACTGTATAAACATCAGAGGTCCACGGTTGTTCAACATCTTCCCAGCGAGCATAAGAAATATTGCCAGAACAACCGTGGACATCTTCAAGAGGAAACTAGATAGTTTCCACCAATGAGTGCCAGACCAACCGAGCTGTAGTGGGTATGTGGGCCTGCGGGCTGCTGCAAGCAACAGCCTGGTGGACCAAACTCTCACTAGTCAAGCCTGGCCTTGGGGAGCAGAACTCCCAGAACCAGGTAACCTGGTATGATGGTGGGCACTGTCAAGTGTGTGCGAAAAACATTGAAATGGACGAAAAAAAGTGTTTTTTCATCTTTTTGACACGAGCATGCTGAACTGCTACAATATGTATCTGGTGAAAACTGGACGTAAACCAAGTTTCCGTTCATTTGCTTTTACACTTGGGACACAGTTATTAGCAAAGTTTGGCAAAGATGTTCCTGGCATACAAAGACCCATCATGAACCCAGTGTTGCAGCATGCTGCTACACCCAGGCTCGCTCACATGGAGGGTTTTCAAGCACACATACTAAAACATTTGCCACCAGCTGGAAAGTGTGCAATAGGTCAACGTGATTGCTTAGTTTGTAAAACAACAAAAGAGAACTCGGAAACGTAAACTTGTGCAAACATGATGTGTTAAGCGTGTGCAGTCCCTTTGTGTGGTGTCGACTGCTTCAACGACCACCACTCTCTCCAAGACTTCTAAATGTGCAATAATCGTGTAAAAACCTGTAAATAGTGCGTGCATGTGTGTAAATATAATAATGAACAATGTAAATATCTATTATATTGGCATAATGGAAAACATTTGTGTGCGCATGTGTATACTCGATGTATGCAACATTTATTGCCATTGACCATGATGTAACATTATATGCAACACAATTAGTGAATAATATTGGTGATAAAATACGCCTAGATACTGTAAATAATGCAGCGAAAATAAATTTGTGGCAACTCTGGCTGCTTGAAGACTGCGCTTCAGCAGCCAGAGCCAGATGGTTGGGTTGACTGCATCTATCTGGACCTAAAAAAGGCTTTCGACAGAGTTCCACATAAGAGGTTGTTCTGGAAACTGGAAAATATTGGAGGGGTGACAGGTAAGCTTCTAACATGGATGAAAATTTTTCTGACTGATAGAAAAATGAGGGCAGTAATCAGAGGCAATGTATTGGAATGGAGAAATGTCACAAGTGGAGTACCACAGGGTTCAGTTCTTGCACCAGTGATGTTTATTGTCTACATAAATGATCTACCAGTTGGTATACAGAATTATATGAACATGTTTGCTGATGATGCTAAGATAATAGGAAGGATAAGAAATTTAGATGATTGTCATGCCCTTCAAGAAGACCTGGACAAAATAAGTATATGGAGCACCACTTGGCATATGGAATTTAATGTTAATAAATGTCATGTTATGGAATGTGGAATAGGAGAACATAGACCCCACACAACCTATATATTATGTGAGAAATCTTTAAAGAATTCTGATAAAGAAAGAGATCTAGGGGTGGTTCTAGATAGAAAACTATCACCTGAGGACCACATAAAGAATATTGTGCAAGGAGCCTATGCTATGCTTTCTAACTTCAGAATTGCTTTTAAATACATGGATGGCGATATACTAAAGAAATTGTTCATGACTTTTGTTAGGCCAAAGCTAGAATATGCAGCTGTTGTGTGGTGCCCATATCTTAAGAAGCACATCAACAAACTGGAAAAGGTGCAAAGACATGCTACTAAGTGGCTCCCAGAACTGAAGGGCAAGAGCTACGAGGAGAGGTTAGAAGCATTAAATATGCCAAAACTAGAAGACAGAAGAAAAAGAGGTGATATGATCACTACGTACAAAATAGTAACAGGAATTGATAAAATCGACAGGGAAGATTTCCTGAGACCTGGAACTTCAAGAACAAGAGGTCATAGATTTAAACTAGCTAAACACAGATGCCGAAGAAATATAAGAAAATTCACCTTCGCAAATAGAGTGGTAGACGGTTGGAACAAGTTAAGTGAGAAGGTGGTGGAGGCCAAGACCGTCAGTAGTTTCAAAGAGTTATATGACAAAGAGTGCTGGGAAGACGGGACACCACGAGCGTAGCTCTCATCCTGTAACTACACTTAGTCGAAGGCTGATGTTCGTTTGAACAAAGGTCAGACGCAAGTGATACAGCACCTATGAGGACGATACAGCAAGCGTATCCAGTTGTAGCTCTTGAGCGCCACCCTTGTCCACCTATGCTATCTCCAATTTATATAGATGATACATACTGTAGATGAATCATTTTCTGTGTTCAGTGATGATGCATCTGATACAAGTAGACGGGAGCCGGTCAGCCGAGCGGACAGCACGCTGGACTTGTGATCCTGTGGTCTTGGGTTCGATCCCAGGTGCCGGCGAGAAACAATGGGCAGAGTTTCTTTCACCCTATGCCCCTGTTACCTAGCAGTAAAATAGGTACCTGGGTGTTAGTCAGCTGTCACGGGCTGCTTCCTGGGGGTGGAGGCCTGGTCGAGGACTGGGCAGCGGGGACACTAAAAGCCCCGAAATCATCTCAAGATAACCTCAAGATAGCATAGATGAACAGTGTTAGTGGCTTCCATGGCGGTGTTTTCCATAGATATTTTCAAGAATAGCTGAATCTCTTCTTGACTCAAGGACACTCTTCGAGGCTGCCTGAATCTCTTCCTGCGTGGGACCTTACAAAGCGATCTTTTCACGACTACCTTACAAATTGATCTTTTCCTATAATCTTTTTCAAGACTACCTTACTCTTTACAAGCTTGGCTGCATACCACCTACAGGTACTAAAGCCAAGGGTGTACATGAGTGCGTTATTTGCAAGCACACACAACTAAGAAACAGGAAGCGAAAATCTATCTGTACCTGGTGCAACGAGAGCAAAGTCGCGCTGTGTACCATGGACTACTATTTTGATTATTACTTACTTCCGAAGTACTGAGTGTATAATACAGTGCGTTACTGTGTAAATAGTGTGTGAAATTGTACATACAGTATTGTAATTTTAGTGAATTTTTAACAAGTAATAGTGAGACAATAAACATTGTGGACACATTATTGACACAGGTATCACAGTTCCATAAAACATTATGAATGGTCTACTGTATACATATTGTAAAGGACACAAATATGCATCATATACGATAAAAAAAATGCATTAGAAATACATAGAAAAATAATTGAAAATATATTTGTGGCAACACCCAGTGCTTGAATAGCCCACGGGACCGTGTCTGGGCATGTCATGCATGGGCAACCAGCCACTGATGACATCACAGCACACCTTGTCCATGTCCCCACAGCCAAAGTGGAATTTTTTTTATTTATTTTTACATAGACACGTTCAGCGAACGGAATTTATCATTTTACAAAGAAAAAAGAATTTTGGGGGAACACTTGATTTCATGTGCACAGGGGGAATTTCACAATAAACTCAGTGCATCACAGTGGTTAATAAGTTAATATAATAATAAGACAAGTCCCCATTGTTAGACTTACTCTATGGAAGTTACACATTATTAAATTTACCCTTGCTACACTTATCAGTTTACAACACAAAGTTAATATCATAAAGTTAAACTTCAAGTTATTTATTATTTCAACAAGTTACAGTACAATGTAAATTTTCAACGTTAACATCAACGTTATTTTACCCAGGGTAAAACTTTCACCAATGTTAATTACCACTTATTATACTTATCAAAGTTAATGCACAAGGTTAATTTATCCAATAATGAATTTCAAGGTTTTTTATTATTTCAACATTCAAATTTTATAAATTAAAAATGATTAATAATTAAATTTATTAATAAACTTTATAATGCCATAACATGTTTGACTCACAAACTAAACATTTTCAGTATCCTTGTCAGTATTACCTCCAGGAAGTTCTTCCTCGTCCATTACTCCCGTACGTGCACCTGCTAGAATATTTCCTCTGGTTATCATGCCAAATACTACTTCAAATGGCGATAATTTTGTAGTCTCTGAATGAACGATATTCATGGCATACATAACTTTTGGTAACCATGATGCCCAAGGAAAGCTTGATTCATCATTTAAACCTGAATCGATCTTCAACTTTCTGAGTTTGTCTCGAATGACTTTGTTGCCATTTTTTACACATCCCGGGAACTGGGAGCGAGGGGATCTTCCATTCACAAAAAGAGTATCACCACCCCATTGATCAAACAGACGTTTCAGTATTAGGTTTACAAACTCTTTACCATTGTCCGATTGAAAAATTCTAGGAAGTCCTACATAGGCTAAAACACGCTCTTCCAGCATTAAAGCAACTTCTCTGGGCGTTTTAGATTTTAAAGGAAACAAAATATGATATTTGCTGAAATGATCTACTACATGGCAAATATAGTTATAGTTCCCATCTGGAGAATTTCTCATGTCTATCAGGTCTACTTGTATGCGATGCATAAACTCCTTCTCAATGATCAGTCTCGGAGCGGGGCGACATATCTGGGGCCGTGCCAGCTCACATGTTGGGCAACATTTACAAAATTCTTGGACAAATTGCCTAGGAATACCATAAAATTCACTTTTCAAAATCATTGCTACCTTTTTGTAACCAGCGTGGGAAGTACTTTGAGTGTGAACCTCAGCAACTGTATCATACAGCATGCTTTCTGGAATTACACGCCTCACACTTCCCAAGGGGCCATCACCTTCCTGAACTGAAAAATAATAGAAACATTTACCAGGTTTAATTAGCAAACAAAAAATCACGCATACAATAGTAATAGCATCAGTATCATTAGTGTTCCTGAAATCATGCCCATGTCTATCTATTAAATAAATTGTGATAAATATATATTTGATATTATGAATTATATTCCCAGCAGACTAAATCTGTGCAAACACACTATGAATATAAAAGAATCCATACATATAAAACTTGGATAAAAAAAATAATTCCGTGCATATATGGATTATATATGCACAGAATGAAAAAAAAAAACTCCCTAATGAATTAAAAAATTATCCAACTTATTCTTTATTCAAAAGTAGAACAATGAAATAACTAATTTTATCACTATTGTCTCTCACCTTGTGCTACTAACTCGCACAGCATCTTTTGCTACATTGGTAGGTCATTCGCCAGGCGCTTTGCGAGCTCTTTGGCCTAAGTTTGTATCCTGGCCGGGGAGGATTGACCAGGGGCGCCAATCCTTAACTGGAGCCTCTGTTCACCCAGCAGTGAATGGGTACCTGGTTGTTAAATGATTTATCAGGTCGTATTCCGGGGAAAATTAGGATTAAGAGGCTTGCCCGAAAAAAAAAAAATATATATATATATATATATATATATATATATATATATATATATATATATATATATATATATATATATATATATATATATATATATATATATATATATATACAGTGGTACCTCCCATAACAAATTTAATCCGTTCCATGTTCGTCATGTGAAATGGACGTCATACAAAACGAGTGTCCCCCATGTAACCAGTGTGATGCACTGTGTTTATTGTGAAATATCCCCAGTGTGCATGACATCAAATGTTCCCCAAAATATAATTTTTCTTTGTAAAATGATAAATTACCGTCCCTGAACATGTCTATGTAAAAATAATTACCAAATTCCACTTACTTTGGCTGTGAGGGCGTGGACAAGGTGTGCTGTGACGTCATCAGGGGCTGGTCGCCCGTGTGTGAAGCTCCCAGACACGGTCGCGCAGGCCATTCAAGCACCGCGTGTTGCCACAAATATATTTTCAAATATTTTTTCTATGCATTTCCAATGCGGTTATATTTGTTTCTTTTATCGTATATGATGCATATTTGTGACCTTTACAACATGTATACAGTAGAATGTTCATAATTTTCCATGAAACTGTGATACATGTGTCAGTAATGTGTCCACAATAAATGTTTATTGTCACAATATTACGTGGTAAAAATTCACTAATATTACAATATGTACAGTTTCACATACTATTTACACAGTAACACACTGTATTACACACTCAGTACTTTGGAGGTGCATAATAGTCAACGAAGTAGTCCATGGTACACAGCGCGACTTTGCTCTCCTTGCACCAGCTACAGATAGATTTTTGTTTCCTGTTTCATCGTTATGTGTGCTTGCAAATAACGCACTCGCGTGCACCATTGGCTTTAGTACTTGTAGGTGGTATGTAGCCAAGCTTGTAAAGCATAAAGTAGTATTGAAACGATTATAGGAAAAGCTCAATTTGTAAGGCAGTCTTGAAAAGATCGCTTTGTAAGGTCCCACACAGGAAGAGATTCAGCTAGCCTCAAAGAGTGTCCATCAGTCAGGAAGAGATTCACCTAGCCTCAAAGAGTGTCCATCAGTCAGGAAAAGATTCAGGTATTCTTGAAAATATCAATGAACACCACCACCATGGAAGCCGCTAACACTGTTCATCTATGCTACTTGTATCAGATGCATCATCACTGAACGCAGAAAACGATTCATCTATGTATCATCTATATACATTAGAGATGGTAAGGGTGGGGCTCAGAGCTACACCTGGATACGCTTGCTGTATCACTGGCATCCGACCGTTGTGTTAAGCCCTTATTGCGCCTAGCTTCACCAATGTTATGACCCTTATGTTCTTCAAACAAAAGGGTCTGAATTGCACAGACTGAGCGCAGTCTTTCAACACCATGTGGGACAGGTGTTTGAGAGCCAGAGGCACGTGTGCCACAAATGGTTGCTCACGCAGTACTAACCCAGCCAGCAGCCCTTGTCTTTCATATTCGTTATGGCAAAAGGTTCGTTCAGTGTTTGTTGGGTAGGCTGCTCCATTATGACAATCTTTCTTTGTTTCAAATGTGTTCCATTTGTTTTGTATTTGTCACTTACGTCTCAATAATGGAGCAGCCTACCCGACAAACACTGAACGAACCTTTATGACATTTGTCCATTTTTCAAATTGTTTCAACAGTTCTTTTATTTTTCGTTTTTTTTTTTTTTTTTTTTTTTTTTTTTTTTAAGAAACATGGAGCAGCCGACCTGTAGACCACCGAATGAACCTTTTTGACATTTGTACTGGTTTTCAAAATTCTTCATTTTTTTTTATTATTTACGTTTTTTGTATGTAAGAAACATGGAGCAGCCTACCTGCCGACCACCGAACAAACCTTTTGCTATAAGACAAATGAAAAATAAATATTGAACACATTTGAAGAAAGGAAAATGTCATAATGGTTTATTCAGTGTATGTAAGGTAGGCTTCTCCATTATTGAGACGCAAATGACAAATAAAAAACAAATGGAACACATTTGAAACAAAGAAAGATTGTTATAATGGAGCAGCCTACCTGCCGAACACCGAACGAACTTTTTTTACATTTGTTGTATATCAGACATTTCATTTCTTTTTTCCTACAAAAACGTCAGTGCTTTGCAACATCTCAGCTGTCACCCTTTTATATCCCAGCATCATTAAACAAGAACAACATAATTTATGTGCATCGTCGGAGGTGTCTAAGAATGTGCAAGATGCAGCGCGACCCCACCATGTGGTGTTGACGTTACTCAAAGCAGCGTTCGTCATACGGGACGATTTGACGCCGATCGGGCCGTTCGTTACCCAAAATATTCGTCTTTTGGGGCAATCGTTATGCGAGGTACCACTGTATATATATATATATATATATATATATATATATATATATATATATATATATATATATATATATATATATATATATATATATATATATATATATATATATATATATACGACTGAAAACTCACACCCTAGAAGTGACTCAAACCCATACTCCCAGGAGCAACGCAACTGGTAACTACAGGGCGCCTTAATCCGCTTGACCATCACGGCCGGACAAAAGGAAGTGATAGCCGAAGCTATTTGAACCACTTCCCCGCCGGCAACTCGGATGGTAATCTTGGGCATAGCATTTTTATCAAATCACCTCATTCTTTGGGGCACACGTGAGGAACACAAATGCGAACAAGCCTGAATGGTCCCCAGGACTATATGCGACTGAAAACTCACACCCCAGAAGTGACTCGAACCCATACTCCCAGGAGCAACGCAACTGGTAACTTAGATAAAATGCTATGCCCAAGATTACCATCAAACTGAGTAAATTCGATACACAGGATCTTCCAGATCGAAAACCATACTGTCTGTCTGATATTATATCATTTCTCTCAAGGTGTTCTACCCATTTAGTTTTAATTATTTTTTCCAATATTTTGACTATTACACTTGTCAATGTTTCTATGATCGAGCAACAGAGATATTACAGGAAAGAGATGGTTGGGTTGACTGCATCTATCTGGACCTAAAAAAGGCTTTCGACAGAGTTCCACATAAGAGGTTGTTCTGGAAACTGGAAAATATTGGAGGGGTGACAGGTACACTTCTAACATGGATGAAAAATTTTCTGACTGATAGAAAAATGAGGGCAGTGATCAGAGGCAATGTATCGGACTGGAGAAATGTCACAAGTGGAGTACCACAGGGTTCAGTTCTTGCACCAGTGATGTTTATTGTGTACATAAATGATCTACCAGTTGGTATACAGAATTATATGAACATGTTTGCTGATGATGCTAAGATAATAGGAAGGATAAGAAACTTAGATGATTGTCATGCCCTTCAAGATGACCTGGACAAAATAAGTATATGGAGCACTACTTGGCAAATGGAATTTGATGTTAATAAATGCCATGTTATGGAATGTGGAATAGGAAAACATAGACCCCACACAACCTATATATTATGTGAGAAATCTTTAAAGAATTCTGATAAAGAAAGAGATCTAGGAGTGGTTCTGGATAGAAAACTATCACCTGAGGACCACATAAAGAATATTGTGTAAGGAGCCTATGCAATGCTTTCTAACTTCAGAATTGCATTTAAATACATGGATGGCGATATACTAAAGAAATTGTTCATGACTTTTGTTAGGCCAAAGCTAGAATATGCAGCTGTTGTGTGGTGCCCATATCTTAAGAAGCACATCAACAAACTGGAAAAGGTGCAAAGACATGCTACTAAGTGGCTCCCAGAACTGAAGGGCAAGAGCTACGAGGAGAGGTTAGAAGCATTAAATATGCCAAAACTAGAAGACAGAAGAAAAAGAGGTGATATGATCACTACGTACAAAATAGTAACAGGAATTGATAAAATCGACAGGGAAGACTTCCTGAGACCTGGAACTTCAAGAACAAGAGGTCATAGATTTAAACTAGCTAAACACAGATGCCGAAGAAATATAAGAAAATTCACCTTCGCAAATAGAGTGGTAGACGGTTGGAACAAGTTAAGTGAGAAGGTGGTGGAGGCCAAGACCGTCAGTAGTTTCAAAGCGTTATATGACAAAGAGTGCTGGGAAGACGGGACACCACGAGCGTAGCTCTCATCCTGTAACTACACTTAGGTAATTACACTTAGGTAATTACACACACATGGAGTGATTGACAAATGGAATGCATTAGGAAGTGATGTGGTGGAGGCGGACTCAATACACAGTTTCAAGTGTAGATATGATAGAGCCCAATAGGCTCAGGAATCTGTACACCTGTTGATTGACGGTTGAGAGGCAGGACCAAAGAGCCAGAGCTCAACCCCCACAAACACAACTAGGTGAGTACACACACACACACACACACCCCCAGGAAGCAGCTTTCTAACTCCCAGGTACTGTACCTATTTACTGTTAGGTGAACAGGAACATCAGGTTGAAAGAAACTCTGCCCATTTGTTTTCCGCCTCCACCCATCGAACCTTGACCCTTAGGACTACAAACCCCAAGCACTGTCCACTCAGCCACCAGGTCCCCAAATATCACTCTCTCTATACAAAGTACTGTAAGTATTTTATATAAATAAGAAAAAACGTACCTTCTTTCGGAGCAACTAACACATCGCACAGATTTAATTCTGGGAAGTTCATCAGCTTTAATTTTTTTGATTTAGTCCACCACTTAATTTTGCTTTTGTTATCAAGCTGATATTTTCTGTCGTGTTCGTTTTTTAAGATGGAAATTGCTTGACTCAGTTTAGCGTCGGACACCACGATGGTTTATTTATTTATTTATTTATATATATACAAGAAGGTACATTGGGTTTGTGAGAATACATTGGATAGTACAGTATTTACATTCTTGCAAAGCCACTAGTACGCGCAGCGTTTCGGGCAAGTCCTTAATCTAGCAGATAATTTTAAGTAGGTAATTTCAATCAGAATTGATAAATGAAAGATACATTACAAGAGAAAAATGAGATGAGAGAGATAAGTAAGTATATTAAAGCACATTGTTATATTAAAGCTCTGATTGATTACATTGACAGCTTGATTAGTAATTTAAACAAGATTAATAGACACCATACAGCAGATTGACAGCACATAAAAGACAGCAATGATCACAATGGTAAAGATGTTCAGAATGGGTACATAAAGATTGAGAGACTAGGTAGCAAAAGATACAGATAAACAAGATTTATAAACACCATATAACAGATTGGCAGCACATATAAGAAAACAGCAATGTTCACAATGGTAAAGATGTTCAAATTGGGAACATAAAGGTTGGGAGATTGGGTAGCAAATAGATACAGTGCAATTTTAAGGCAAAAAGTGAAAAATTATGAAGATGAAATTAGGTACTTTTTAGTATTGATTTTGAATGATGTAAAAGTTGGACAGCTTTTCAATTCAGTAGGGAGTGAGTTCCATAAACTGGGTCCCTTTATTTGCATAGAGTGTTTACACAGATTAAGTTTAACTCTGGGGATATCGAAGAGATATTTATTTCTGGTGTGGTGATAATGGGTCCTATTACATCTGTCCAGGAAGAGTTTCAGACAAGGATTTGCATTTAAGAACAGGGTTTTGTAAATGTAGTTGACACAGGAGAATTTGTGGAGAGAGATTATGTTTAGCATGTTTAGGGAGTTAAACAAGGGGGCTGTGTGTTGTCTGAAAGCAGAATTTGATATTATTCTGATAGCAGATTTTTGCTGGGTGATGATGGACTTGAGGTGGTTTGTAGTGGTTGAACCCCATGCACAGATACCATAGTTGAGATAGGGATAGATTAGTGCATAATATAGAGAGATGAGAGCAGAGTTAGGAACATAATATCTGATTTTGGAGAGTATACCAACTGTTTTAGAGACTTTCTTAGTTATGTGTTGTATGTGGGTACTGAAGTTGAGTCTCTTGTCTAGGAATATGCCAAGAAACTTTCCATCATTTTTATTGCTAATGTTTACATTGTCAATCTGAAGCTGAATTGCATTTGTAGATTTGCTTCCAAATAGGATGTAGTAGGTCTTTTCTATGTTAAGTGTTAGTTTGTTGGTTGACATCCATAAGTGGACTTTTTTTAGTTCAATATTAACAACATCATTTAGTGTATGTGGGTTGGGGTTGGAGTAAATGAGGGTAGTATCATCAGCAAACAAAATAGGTTTCAGAATGTTAGAGACATTAGGCAGATCATTAATGTATATAAGAAATAGTAGGGGTCCCAAGATGCTGCCCTGTGGCACTCCAACGGTTATTGGTAGAATGGGAGAGATAATATTATTGATGGCTACACATTGGTGTCTATCACTAAGATAGGATTGGATATAGTCCAGTGCATGGCCTCGGATTCCATAATGATGGAGTTTACATAAGAGGTAATCGTGATTAACCGTATCAAAGGCCTTTCTCAGGTCAATGAAGAGTCCAATTGGAAACTCATTTTTGTCAAGGGCTGAGTAAATTATATCAAGGAGACTAATAATTGCATCGTTGGTACTCTTTTGAGAGCGGAAGCCAAACTGACAGGGGCTAAGAATGTCGTATTTTACGAGATAGGAGTAGAGCTGTTTGTGGATAATTTTTTCAAATATTTTTGATAGTATGGGTAGGTTCGATATTGGTCTGTAGTTGTTTATGTCTGACGGATTACCTCCTTTATGAACTGGCGTTACTCTTGCGTTTTTAAGGATATCAGGGAAGGTATGACACTCAAGGGATTTGTTGAACAGCAAAGCTATAGGTGGTGCAAGGGCATGGGAGGCGCTCTTGTATACAATGGATGGGATTTCACTGATGTTCCCAGCTTTGGTTTTTAGTGAGTGTATGATGGACACAACATCTGACGGGCTGACTGGTGAGAGGAGAAGATAGTTTGGATAGCTGCCTGAGAGATATGTGTTGATATGTGTCTGAGTCTGTGGGATTTTACTTGCAAGGTTAGCACCAATCGATGAAAAGAAGCTATTAAATTCTTTCGCCATTTCTAAGTCAGATGACAGTGTAAGGCCATCCTTAGAGAGTGCTATCTGGTTGTGGGAGTGTTGTTTAGTTCCCAGGATGTTAGAGATGGTATGCCATGTGCTTTTCATGTTGCCTTTTGCTTCTTTGAATCTAGTCTCATAATACGAAAGTTTTGCTTTTCTTATGATACTGGTAAGCACTGATGAGTACCTTTTAACTACTTCCATTGAAACTAGGCCACCCCTAAATTTCTTTTCGTATTCATGTTTTTTGTTGATTGATTTAATTATGCCACTTGTGAGCCACGGGTTATTTTTTCTTGTATCAGTTACTTGTTTGGTAAGGAGGGGACAGTGAGTGTTGTAGAGGCTTAGAGTTTTGGAGAGAAAGAGGTTAGTTGATGAATTTATATCCTGTGAATTATTAAATTCAGATTCCCAGTTAATATTGTGAAGTGCATTAGAGAGATTGCCTAAAGCTGATTCACTATGTAGCCTGAATGAGAGTTTTTTGGTTTCTGGTGGTGATTTGTCAATGTTTGCTATGAGGAAAGTAGGATAGTGGTCAGTTGTTGTCATAAATTACCCCAGATGTAAGGGGAGCTGTTATATTAGTCCATAGGTGATCCAGGGTAGTGGCAGATGTTTGAGAGACTCGGGTGGGCTTGGTGATTGTGGGGATTAGCATACAGGAGTGCATGCTGTTACGGAAATAGTCAACTTGAGGGTTGTTTTGAAGACCCAGGTCAATATTGAAATCACCTCCCAGAATGATGTGATTTTTGTTGAGATTGTTATTTATGATAAGATTCCTTACATTGTCAGAGAATAAAGCTATGTTGGTATTAGGAAATCTATAGATGGCACCGATTATCAGGGAGGATTTAAGGGATTTACTGGAGAACTTGGCAAAGGTATATTCACAATAGTCGTCTCTCACTAATGACACTATTGCAAGTGAAGGTATCTTTGTAATATATTGCTGTACCGCCACCTTTTTTATTAGGCCTGCAGTTATGAATGGCTTTATAACCGGCTAAATTGTAGAGTTGGGTATAGTCATTACTTAGCCAAGTTTCTGTTAAAATGATGAAAGATAATTTAGTACCTAGTGCTGTAAGTAGTGCATTTATATCATCAAAATGTTTACCAAGCGACCTAACATTTTGGTTGTAAACTGATAAGCAGGTGCTATTTAGGAGTTTGTTTTTTGCAAGATTTGCTGTGTAATACCTGCAATAATGATGATCAATGTGCTGATTTGTGTGGATATGGGACAGAAGATTTCAATCAGGATCAATATCAGTAAGCATATAGATAAGATAATGTCACGATACAATAAGATAAGCAATTACAGGAACAGAGGAAAACTAAATCTGCTGTAAAATAGAAAGTAATTATAGCAAAACACAACAATATAATAATATAACAATACAATAAGAGCTTACAAAGTATTGAGTCTGCTAAAATTAGAAATAATTATGGCAAAACACAACAGTAAATGCAAGTAAACAAAAGAATTGAAACAATTAGAGGTAGAATTAAGGTCACTAGATAGCCATGGAGGATACACAAGTTTGGTGGAGAAAACAAAAAATCAGTAGAGACTGTCAAGATGAATATATAAAAAAATTTGACAAATGATAATTGTAAAGTAAAATAATCTTAAAGATAATAAATTTTATTTAGCTTAGTTTTAACCTATAATTTGTATGAACTTAATTAAAAGAACAAGAATGAGATCAATAATTGATTTCAATAAATGACATAGATCAATACAATTAAATTTAAAATTTAAATGGAATAGGGTAAGATTAGATTTAAGAGTAAAATTTTACAATGAAACTGAGGTAGATGCTTGCATAAGTGCATGGAGACTTGATGGATTATTTAGGAAATTATATGAATGAGAGAACATTAGGTAAAAGGTAAGGCAGAGACAGCACCTTAGACAAAGTTAGATTAGGCTCAGGCACTGAAATAGTTAGTTTAAGTACTGGCATTGGTCGGGTTCAGGTTTTCAGATATACCACAATCATTTAAGAAGGCCAGTAGTTGTTGGTCACATTTTATTTCATATCTTTTTCCTGTACTTTCCTTCTTCGCAAAAATCGTTCCATTCCTAGTGTAGCACTGCTTGATAAGACCAGGGTTTTGTTTGCGAATTTGACGCAGCCTGAAGAGGAGGGATCCACGCTGCTTTGTAAGACACTCATTTATATAGAGGTTGGTTTTTTGCTTGGCAGCTGATTGTATGAGGTCAAACTTCGCGGAGGGATTTGCAAGTTTGATGAGCATTCTCCTACTGTTACGGGGACTGTTTTTATCTATCCTGATAGCTGATTTGATTTCAACATTGACTCTGATCTTTGAATTAATTAGGGTGTGGGCTATGTTACAACAATTCTCACCTTGTTGTTCATCAGGTAGATCAGTAGAGCTAATTATCAGGGAGTCATGAAGTTGTTGTTGCTCTTGGTCATCTTCGGAAGCCGCCTGGTGAATCTGAAGGAGATTGATCTGTTTTTCCAGCTTGTGAAGGAGGTTACTTTGAGCTGAGATGGTTTCCTCGGCCTGAATCTTATGTATTTGATCCATTGCACCATTTGCAACAGTTTGTAAGTTGAGAATTTCTTGGTTGTTGTTCGTCGACGATTCAAGGAGGCGGTCTATGGTATGTTGTTGTCGGGTGACTGTGGCTTGGAGGGCCGAAATAGCTTCAGATTGCAGGAGCACAAGGTTGTGCAGTTTCTGAAGCCATGGGTTACTTCTGAGAGGTTTGAAGTTTAGACAGGGAGCCATAGATTGAATGAATTCTACAGCTAGAGATTCGAGGTGAGTTGAAGGGGGGAGTGAGGAGGGGGAGCGGATGCTGTGTTTACCAACATCGGCGAGGGATGCAGCGTTGCCAGTGTTTCATTCAGATCTCTAGGAGTAATGGATCCAGAGCGAGAGGCACCCCTACCTTGCTTGTTGTTATGTTTGGGTATTGAATGGTATTCTTCTTTGTTGTAAGGTTTGATAGAAAATTGTTCATGTGTTGACGATGAACTTCCATGGTGTGAATATAATGAAGGTGGTGCGTGTTGTGTGCGACTGTACCCTGCTGGTGTGCGAGAGCGACAGAACCAGCTGCTGTGGTGTTTTGTGCTGCTGTGGAAGTTTCAAGCGTGGCGGCCGTCCTGCACGTTTTGTCTTGTTTACATCAGGGTTGCCAGATCTGAATTGCTGAAAGTAGCGAGCAAGGATACAAAAGTAGCGATTTTTTTTTTGAGATATATTCAAAATTTGTAATAAAAAGTAACATTTAAAAGAAATTTGTAATAAAAGTAGCTCAATATTTTGTTTATTTACTGATACGGTTTTCAAAGTAATATATTTTAATACATAAAGTAATAGTTTGCATTTTAAATGCAAACTCAACGTGATCAATCAGCATGGGCTCTCCAGCAGAATTTTTGTCATTATGGCTGATTCAAAATGACGATCTAGATGCTAGAATTTGTCCCTCACACATGTTGGACTAGTCAGTGGTTAACAGTAGCCCTTCTTTCCAGTCTGCCACTGGTTTTCAATTTAACTAAGCTTAGAGTGGTCAGCTAGAACTAATGGATGTTCTGAAAATAGTGGTCGTGATTAGCTAAGGTTGCATATGCTAGTGACTAGAGACCTTTTTTGAACGTTTCAGCAATACTAGGAATGCAATTTAGGAGGTTCTTTGCAAGCTCTCACTAAAAATTATGGCATCTTTGTTGAACGCTTTGAAGCATTTCCCTGGGTCATGACATTGTTTTGTCTGTTAATAGCGTGTAGCTAAAATACACTCTCTCTAGGGGCAGATAATTGGAAGTGAACAGTTGTGTCCAGACCACGGTTGTGTGCGGTCGCTAGGTTGGCGCTCTTGGCGTCCGCTGATTGGTGGGAGGTGGAGTATTGCCCCACACTCTTCGTTTTTGCACGTGGTGATACAGGATATTGTGCATTTGTCCTCGATTATTGACAGCGTCGAAGAAATGGCTGAGGCGGTATGCCTAAGTGGTAGTGAGGAGGACAGACAAGATGATAACAGACCGTTTGAAGTAGTAGTGAACAAAAAGAAACGGAGAAATAATAACAGACAGCGAGACAGTGAGATTAAAAAATAAAAATAAAAATAAAATGTTTATTTAGGTAAGGTACATACATACAATAAATTTTTACAAAGATTGGTTGACTTATAGGTAGAGCTAGTACATACAATGCCTAAAGCCACTATTACGCAAAGCGTTTCGGGCATGATAAACTTAAATGACAAGCTTAATACTAATTGAGCATAATGAGTAGAATGAAAACAAGAAATGAAAACATAGATGAAAAAGCAGCACAAATACAATTATGTCAACAAACAGCGCTCTTTAAAAAAAAACAGACATTGGCTGACAATAGAAGAGTAATTAGGCTTGCTTGGAGTTGTTCACCATATAAGTCTATTTTCTTGTTTATTTCTTCAAAGTCACCACACTTCACTTTCCACACCTCATTTTCTTTCACTAGTTCCTTGATTTGCTGCTCCTGATTTGTTACCTTGTCTGTTAATGCAGTAATAATCTTACCTTGCTGAAGCATACTCCCTTTTAGAGTGCAAAGCTCACTCCTAAGAGCTCCATTGTCCTCTTCCAATTTAAGCACTATTTCTTCATACTTCTTTTGCATATCCTCAATTATCTCTAACCTGCCAAGAACACCTCCTTTCCTTATATCTTGTAGTGAGAATCCTTTAAAACAATCATCTGTTGGTGTGTCTACATTCCCAGTGGTGGTGGCGGCGGCCATCTTGGTTTTTGTACTCAATTTTTTTTTAGTTCTTTTTTTTTCAATCTTTTTCAATTCGATGTACTGTATTTTGTGTGTGTGTGTGTGTGTGTAATTACCTAAGTGTAGTTACAGGATGAGAGCTACGCTCGTGGTGTCCCGTCTTCCCAGCACTCTTTGTCATATAACGCTTTGAAACTACTGACGGTCTTGGCCTCCACCACCTTCTCACTTAACTTGTTCCAACCGTCTACCACTCTATTTGCGAAGGTGAATTTTCTTATATTTCTTCGGCATCTGTGTTTAGCTAGTTTAAATCTATGACCTCTTGTTCTTGAAGTGCCAGGTCTCAGGAAATCCTATCTGTCGATTTTATCAATCCCTGATACTATTTTGTATGTAGTGATCATATCACCTCTTTTTCTTCTGTCTTCTAGTTTTGGCATGTTTAATGCTTCCAACCTCTCCTCGTAGCTCTTGCCCTTCAGTTCTGGGAGCCACTTCGTAGCATGTCTTTGCACCTTTTCCAGTTTGTTGATGTGTGTGTGTGTGTAATTACCTAAGTAATTACCTACACTTAGGTAATTACACACACACACACACACACACACACAGGATGTACGTCGTGGTGTCCCGTGTGTGTGTACGTGTGTACTCACCTAATTGTGCTTGCGGGGGTTGAGCTCTGGCTCTTTGGTCCCGCCTCTCAACCTTCAATCAACTGGTGTACAGATTCCTGAGCCTACTGGGCTCTATCATATCTACATTTGAAACTGTGTATGGAGTCAGCCTCCACCACATCACTTCCTAATGCATTCCATTTACTAACTACTCTGACACTGAAAAAGTTCTTTCTAACGTCTCTGTGGCTCATTTGGGTACTCAGCTTCCACCTGTGTCCCCTTGTTCGCGTCCCACCAGTGTTGAATAGTTCATCCTTGTTTACCCGGTCGATTCCCCTGAGGATTTTGTAGGTTGTGATCATGTCCCCCCTTACTCTTCTGTCTTCCAGTGTCGTAAGGTGCATTTCCCGCAGCCTTTCCTCATAACTCATGCCTCTTAGTTCTGGGACTAGTCTAGTAGCATACCTTTGGACTTTTTCCAGCTTCGTCTTGTGCTTGACAAGGTACGGGCTCCATGTTGGGGCCGCATACTCCAGGATTGGTCTTACATATGTGGTGTACAAGATTCTGAATGATTCCTTACACAGGTTCCTGAACGCCGTTCTGATGTTAGCCAGCCTCGCATATGCCGCAGACGTTATTCTCTTTATGTGGGCTTCAGGAGACAGGTTTGGTGTGATATCAACTCCTAGATCTTTCTCTCTGTCTGTTTCATTAAGTACTTCATCTCCTATTCTGTATCCTGTGCCTGGCCTCCTGTTTCCACTGCCTAGTTTCATTACTTTGCATTTACTCGGGTTGAACTTCAACAGCCATTTGTTGGACCATTCACTCAGTCTATCCAGGTCATCTTGTAGCCTCCTACTATCATCCTC